TTTGGATCTCTTTGCTCCTCACTGTCAGTGAGTCTCTGTGAGGATCCACCAGGTCGGTCCACATTTAGACCAGGGCTGGTGTGAGAACCAGAGACGGCTGTGCCTCAGCGGAGAGAGCAGGCGCCTGTCAACGACACCACTGGAAATCCATCGTTAAAATACTTCGTCTAATAACGAACCGGCTGATTGTGGGAACCCTGAGTCGTCTTTGAACAAAGATTTAAAAAAGAAACTTTAAACATTTTTAAACTGGAATTTATTGAAATCAAACCATTAAATCAACATCTGGTTCATGTTGATACTGAATGTTTTGTTTTATAAAATGGTCTTGAGACAGAATTATTTCATTAATGGGAAAAAGTCACTGATTTAAAAATGATTGTTTTGATTTATTTTTTATTTTCTTTCTGGCTGCATGTTTAAAGCACAGAGAAAAAAAACAAATCTAAAAAATGTTGTTTCACGGTTCGATCAAAATAAAACAAATAACTTTCTGTTTTTCTGCTTTTCTTCCCCGTTGGTTCTCAGTCAGGATCGGGAAACTGAAGAGGAGGAAACCAGAGGACGCAGCGGTGAGTGAAGAAACGTCGGTGGTCTGAACCCTGTGACGTCACCTCAGTGTTTCTACCACTCACTGTCACTGTGTCTCAGCTGACTGTGTCTTCATGTCTGTCACAGGAGGGCGCCGTGGACCTCACCCCGCTGGACAGTGAGTGGAATGACAGGAGAAGGATGCAGATGTCCACCCTGATTGGTGGGTTTAAAGGTGCGGATAAATAATCGGTGTCAAAATAAAATTTCAAATCTGTGATGTTTCATCGTGAAACTGATCTGAATGTTATCTGCTCTAAGGTGCGATGCTGGTGAGCACAACGTCTAAGGAGTGTCGAGACAGCGACGCAGACCTGGACGTGGACGGAGACGACACTCTGGAGTACGGCAGAGCACAGTATCCTCTGACACCGACGCTCCCAGGAGATCAGAGTTGAAGTTTTAAAATGGACTTCAAATTAAAATTATTTACTCTTTCAGTGAGGACGTCCTCACACTGTCACAGGTTTCATTAATATAAAAAAATAAAAAAAAAAGTTTTTTTTCCTGAGTGTAGCTCAGATACACAGAGGCAGACGTCATTCCCTGTTCAGGAGAAAGTTCCAAGGACACGTCCTTAAAGTGAGTTCTTCTTCTTTGGTTTTTTATTAGTTTTTGATAGGATTGTACGGATTTTTTTAAATTTTAAATCTGTTTTAATTTCATTCACAGCAGCAGCTGTACCAGTACCAGTACCAGTACCAGTACCAGTACCAGTACCAGTGTACTCCCAGACTCCAGGATTCACCTGGATTATTCCAAATGGATAAACGATGGTGAGTTGAACTGAGACTGAACACATGACTTAGTCCAGTGTTTCCCAAAAGTTTTTTTTCTGGAGATCCATATTTTAAAATATCACAAACCTTCACGACCCAAAGGTCAATAAACATTATTCATAAATCACAAAATAAAGGACTGTGAACTGCTGGGAAATATGATGCAAAACGACCCCAAAAAAAAATTCTTGTGACACACCTGAGGGTTGCGACCCAGTCTTTGGGAAACAATGACTTAGGGTAACACAAAAACAAGCAACGTTTGTGGTCTTGTTTAACCAGGGTTTAAACTGAGGAAATATATATATATATATATATAAATTATAAATAAGATGGACCAGAATAAACACCAAAAGTTAAATTAGTGAAAATAAAAACAAGAACCATGAAAATAATTACAAAAAAAAATCTAGATTGGTCCTATTTTTTTAGAGGATGAAATCATTTTGCTTTGATTAATAATTTTGGTCTTTTCTTCCTGCAGGAAGTCCATCCACCAGTGGAGGAGAGAAGGTCAACAGCAGCGTTTCCACGACGACACAAACGTGTAAAAATACAGAGATTGAGACGTGAGTTTATCAACTGATCCTCATCTCTCTGTCAGTGATGTCACCGCGTTGTCTTCCAGTCCAAACTAATGTGTCTGGTCTCACTTCACGACACACTCCTCCTGCTCAGAGTGCATTCTGGGAAATCTGTGAATAACGGCCAAAGGAAGTGGATTTTAAGACTCTGTCCCCTCTCCCACAATACTTTATCAATATGATGACATCATC